AAAAAGAAGGATTTTTGGCTTTTTTCGACCTATTCTCAATACTTCGCATTTTTCTCCATCAAAATTTCACTTTTTCGAGCTGGGAAGGTGATATTCGTGATCAGCTCGACCTGGCGATTCAGAATATGTATAATAAACCACAAAAAAGATTTCACTCGAAGTTTGCTTTACGTGCATCTTAAACAGACAGTATTTTTACAGTGAACCATTCAATGATTCTTTATTGTTTGCTGATGCCTTTCAGTAATACTAAAACATTTTTGATTCTGTTCGATGCATGTTAATGGAAGGACAGAAGAATGTGTCTGCGGACAAATTTTAAGTATACTGCACAAAAGAAAATACTTACACTGAAACAGCTTGAAGTAAATACAGAGCATAAACATGTTATTATGCCGTTAACTATGTTCTGTCTTGCATTTATTGTAGACTTAAATAAGGGATACCGTCTCTTAACAAGAATTGCTTTAACTGTTATCGAGAAAAATCAGATTATCGCGCCGACGGTTTAATCGATTGACATTTAAGCGATTATTCGTAAGGGTTTGTTTGGGCAAAGACTGACGATATATCGCGCTAACGAGGAGCTCTATCATCACAAAAGAATTATCGCGGTTTATGAACAGACTTTGGTAAACCACCATAGCGGAGATTATTGAGTAAACTCCGACATCGATTAGTACTGGGATAGTAAAAGTATCTTGATACATCTGCTAGTTTAAGTTTTATTCCTCTAGAAAAAATAGAATATCTAAATACAGAAGTGGATTAACGCTGAACTGCCCCGATGCGGCAAACCACTATATCAGTAATAGAGTAATAACTGTTTGACAAATGAAAGTTGTAGACAATATAAAAATATTGAAACGTGAGAACAGAAGAGAAACAGAAAATACACATCAGTGTGAAAGATATATAGTGTAGATGATATTCACATGAAAATAAGTTGGCCGAGAATATGTGTGCATTCATTTTCATTTGGCACATCGTTTAGTGCATAAATTATATGGTAGTACATTACAACATACGTGTTATTTACATGTTGTTTTACACAAATACCTCAACGGATAGCGTTTGCAGGAATCTTCTTTCATAAATCTGAAAAAAAGAACATCCCTATCCATGATATGAGGGGGTGAAAGTGGAACAAAGTCTCGATGAATAGGATGAAAAATGTTATGCCTGGAACGCGTGTCGAAAAATCTCTTCAAAGGAATGTCTCTACAACTGGTATAGTAATAAAAAGTATTGAAATCATCGTGAATATGACAACCTCTTCTAATCGAATGATAAATTATAGGCGATACTTTATTTTATCTGCTCAACATGAGCTTGCGCTCAATGAGACCCTTTCAGTCGATTGTTTTATCAGTTTATGAAGGGCAGTTTGAAATGTATAGTAATTCTTTTCCGTCATTTGACCAGTAGCTTTTGCGGAAAAAATTTTTCGAGTTTTTCCTAGACTTTTTGAAGTTTTTTTCAAATTTCAATAAAAGTATCAAATTTCAACTTATAGGCTTAGTTTTGATATCAGTTGATAGAGAATATAAAGATGTACATGTAAAAAATGTTTGTTCGTAACCCGCTGAATGTTCCTGCTTTATTCAGCTTTGATCTACCTCATAGGATTGTGAAACAGCATTTTTGACAACACTTTGGTACTACATTCGCTTCAGAGTAGCATTTTGAAGCAAAAGTGTGGGTACAAAAGTTGTTCAGAATCTAATTCTGTAGTCCCGCAAGAGAGCGTCTTCAGAGATCTTGAAGACGGAGAAGTTTTAGCATTCCGTACGTTGGGACAATTTTTAAAAATGATGTGTTTGAGACTTTTATGCAATTCTTTTGGAAATTCTCGAAAATAATAAGGACTCTGCCTAGCTTGTAAAGTAGTAGTATTTATATTTTACATCACAGTTAGAAGTTACATCTTAATCGTTTAGCTCGTGAAATGATGCATGACTTTATTAACCCGAGCGATATAAGAAAAATATTTGTTGGTGATCGATGCAGACCTGCCTTACTGCCTTCGAGTGCTTGTCGCATTCTGTTTCATGGAACAACATTAACTTCGTCGCAACCTTATAACACGTTTAGTTTTACTTTAGCAACAAAAAAAGGTAATGTTCTCATATTCACATGGAATCTTGCTTAACATTGACCAGAAGATTTTAGGGCGAATAAAGCCAAACAATGGATCCTGTTCTTCTTTGCTGAAAAAGGTTGCTACCCAAAGAATGATGATGGTAGTAGGCGTGGTTGCTGTCCAAAAGGTGCCAGGTATTTCACCAGATAAACACGATTGTATAATAAAAGAATCAATAAAAAACAAAAAAATTTATAAACGTTAACGAAAACAATCTTTTTTTACTAACAGCTGGAAATAGGCTTTTTTCCTGTAATAATGAATTAATAATCAAGCACAAAATAAATGCATGTATATACGTACAAGAGGCATCGTCTTATAAATTCAACCGCGATATAGGCTGTCTTTTAATTTCTTTGTTCGACTCATTTCCATAAAGTATCAGCAAAAATTCTTTTGTATCAATTTTACTCCAAAACGCTGTTTATATGCTTCATTCGAAGGTTTATAAGATCACAAAGAATTGTCAATCTACACATCCTCCCCTTCTTAACAAATGAAGATAGATGCGGAAATTCAATATACTAATCAATAGCCTGATTATAAAAGTAAACATTACGTTTAAAAATTAATGCAGTAAAACACACCAACACACGTTGTTTTCTTAACAGGTTTAATTCTGTCAATACAAAAAGTTACCAGTTTTCTCATTCATTACTAATGTGAGTAACCCTTATAAATGGCGACTAATTGTGCTTCATTATGTAGCGTTTGATTCTGAAGTAATACGGATCCGAGTTCAAATGCGTAAATTGTTGATTTATAATCATAGTCCTTATCGTAACCGCTTCTAGCCACTTCATCTGTATTATTATCAGCGGTAACTCGAGTATTACCCGTTAAATTTGCACTTCCATTCGGATTCATTCGTGTCAGCTGCCATGCAAAAGAGTTCGACAGCATGTTTGCTAACTCCTGTCGGAGACTGACGTTGGGGTACACCACTAAATAGTTGCACGCTTGATATAGGCCATATGCATTATAACTTGAATCATAGCCGCCCTTCTCTGGATTGAAACCACTTGGATCTTGCAGTGACAAACCGTTTTGAGCGAACGTAGCTGCTTGTGAATAAAATTGTTGTTGAAGCGACGAATCATTCGTGAGTAGAGCAGTTTCGGCAAGAGCAGCCGCCAAAATGTATCGTCGATGTGTATAAGGCATGTCATTTTTGATACCTATGGTCAGAACAGATGGCACCAAGAGCCAACTAGCTGCTCGAATTAATTTGGGGACAACTTGATTAAAATACGACTCATATGTGACAAAGTTTGGTGATTGCCACATGAGTATCAGACACCTGGCTACTGCTTCAACAAACATTGATGTACTGTGGAACGCATCTCCCGTGCCCTGCATAGGTGTAGTACAGTTAGAACAATTATTGAATCCACCATCAACAGTTTGCTTTGAAAAACCCCAGTTAAAAATATTTTCACCATTTGATAATAGACTTGGACGGTTGGCGTAGACGGCAGCTGTTACATCATCGCAATCGAAGCGTTGAAGTTCAATATACCAAACTGTTGATGTTCCTTGTTCCCACTGTTGGTTGACACCATTGGCTCCATCAGCCGCTGCAGCCGTGGCCGATATTCGATTATACCAGACGCCCATCAGTAAACTATCATTGTATAACTGATAGGTACTTGGAACAGGACTGATCAGAGGTTGACCTAGTGTTAGAGCGGCCAATAATAGGCTGCAAGAAACTGGATGGAAATCAGATGACTTCATTTTCGGACTTGTGTTTCACCTACAACTTCTTTCTACTTATAAAAAAATGTAAATGCAATTAGTTTGTATTTATTTTAACTTGAAAAAAGTTGATTTTATTGCTTCTTCTTATTACAGAGGAAATTTAGTACGTTTTCAGTACCTTATTATTTATTTTGGGTCACATGTGCGTTAGTTTACTTTATCGAGAAAATATCTGAATAAATATGATTACAACTTTGAAGTCAGAAATAAATTGGTTATTGTATCCATTATTAACGATGGTTTATGTATGATTATTTTATGATTATTTTATTTTTAAAAGTACAAGAAAAAAGAGTTAATAATTAGAAGAAGGAAAGGCAATTGTATTAGTGCATGTGATATTCTGTGAAGAACTGATTGAAACACAAGGGTTTTACACAATAACTGCATTTGATAAACGGCGTAACAGTTGTTTTAAAAGCATGTGTCATTGTTGAATGAAAAACATACTTCCTTAACATTTTCAAATGATCCAGGGTTGTTTTTCAAATAGCCTGACTGACACCATATATATCGGCTACGTCTCAAAGAGATATCTCTTTTTTTCAACCTCACACACAGTTTTTAATATCCTTTCTGACGTTGTTTGATCTTACAAAGCCAATTAGGACGAATTTGTAACTCTTTTTGAGAAACCTTCGTATATATCATAACATGTGCGCGTTTTTCCGTTTGTGAGGAGAAAGACGGAAAAATAGAGAGGGGAAAAATCGTTTGCAAGAAGTACCATGAGCCCGAATCCTTTTGGGGCTTTTATTAGCTCATTACTTTGCATCGTTTGGCACCATCTGCTTGGTAATTGAGCAAGAATACTGGCTGAAACTCACCTTTTGACAAAAGGATTAATAATATTACTTTTACACGTGAACATTTTATTGTCAACTTCGAAAAAACATATATTTTTTTTGTCGTATTTTCTATGAACGGATACACAAACCACACGATGGAAATCATAAAACAAATTTAACGTGGATATGTAACAAACCGAAGGTAAGGCATATTGTTACATTCATCATGTTTGAGTCAACAACAGCTAAAGGAGAGGGCGATACTGACTTGTTACCTTCCATCTCTTTTAACAGAACTTCGTGATATATGAAATATTTATGCGGTTGTAAATGAAAAATACCGAGGACTAACAACAATTTTTTGACTGATTGATTAAACACCTGAGAGATACAATAAGATAGATGTTCTCGCAAGAACAAAAGAGTTTTTACTGTTGTTCGAAAGAGAGCCGATTCTTATCATATAGTATTTATTTATTAATTTTTGAAGCTAATGAAATATATTTTATTTCCTGCGTTGTATATAGATAATGTTTACACATCTAGAACACTTAAGCACTGAAATATTCGATTATTTGAGTTCATATCACATATCTGAATCATTCTATGGATTAAATAAACGCTTTAACGATATAACACAATACTGTCACAGATATACAGATTTCAACCAAGAACCAGACGAAAAATTGGTTTCATATTTTGAACAAATATCATTACCATCTCGTATTCTATCATTAAAATTTACCCAATCCCAACAAATCGAACATGTAAACGGACATTATGAAATTTTCTTATTTCTACGTTAATTGACATTCGTTGATATACAAGAAAATAAAATAAAACAAATTTTAAATACAATTCCAATTCAACAATTAGAATACATATCAATTAATGGACGTTGTTGCGATGATAATGAAGATCTATATCGAATTTTAATATCCGAACAAATGTTATTATTAAAAAAATGTCATTTAAATTTTCTAACTATTATGAATTTTAATCTTAATAAAATTCAATTAACACAATCAGAAATTGAATATTTAACATTTAAATGTTTTAGTTTTGATCATATAATTAAATTATTTCAATATGTAAAGTGCTCCAAATTCAAACGCGGAGCACTATACCTCCTCGTCATACTTTAAAGGTCACAAATTAGATATTCTCCGCTTGCAAGCCTATCAGCGCCATCGGGTCGAGAGATAGACCCTTCATTGTTACGGCATTAGAACCGCCATCAAACGTAAAACAAAGTTATAGAGTCACTTTTTCGAATTTCTGTTTTTTTGCTGAGATATTACTTTTTTTTCAAAACGAACGCTTTTTCATCTATAATCGGCCAAGTGATTTTTTTCTTAGTTTTTTATTTTTCAACAGAATTCACTCAAATTAGCAGAGTATAGATAAAAAAGCATTCTGAATCCAATGGTAAGATTTCCAGATCACCAG